CACACGCACGCACACACACACACACACGCACACGCACACACGGTGGGCTGTCTAGGATTGTCTCTGTGATGAAACCAGCAGTAACTGTTGGCATGTCAACTACATCCTCTGTGACATGGCGCGTGTGTGTGTGTGTGTGTGTGTGTGTGTGTGTGTGTGTGTGTGTGTGTGTGTGTGATTGTGTGTGCGTGCACAACCTTTGACCCTCTGGCGATGTCGACAATTTTGAAGCAGAAGCCGTGGTAGAGAGAGGTTGACATTTTTCGGGATTTCCACGGGAGCAGTTCGGAGCGGTAACTGTGACAACGGGGGTCAAAGGGAGAGGGAAAGTCTGTATGATGCACTTCATTTTTATGTCGCATGAAGATTTAAACATCCCCCCGAGTGTCGAGTTGAAACGTTGCGTAGATAGACAATTAGCGCGGTGTCAGAATTGGGCATTTGTGTGTGTGTGTGTGTGTGTGTAGAGGGAGGGTGTGAGGGGGTGGGGGGAACAATCAGTTCACTGAAATCTTATTTTAAAATTGGATACCTCGACGAACTGCTGTTTGTGCACTGATGCATGGCTAACTTTTCTACTAAAATTATGTGTTGTTTCTTGATCATTTCTGCCATTTGACGTACTTACTGCGGTGAGTGCGACGTGACCCCTGTCATGAATACACTATTTTACATTGAGAAAGGAAAACAGAGCAGGAGTGACGTTTTGGCTCGGCATTGGGAGGGAATGGGATTCGTTTTCTGGGAGTGAGAGGGTGTCTAAAAGACCAAAATGATCCTAAAATGGCCGCTTGAAACCAAAATGGTGGACTTCGTGCGGCTTGAGACTTTTTCTCTTAAGGTGTGGCAGGGTTGGAGAGCCCATTGCAGTAGTGCTCCCAAAATGTATTTTTCAGAGATGTAAAATAGGAAAACAAGGCGCTTTGGAATCATCAAAAATAAATAAAATAAAAAAAACGTCCAAAAAGCAAATACAAAGTAACGAAAAACATGACACCAAATTCACCAGCACACAGGGATGTGACAACTGACAACAAAGTAACGATCTGCCAAAGACTTGACAGGAAGCAGATAACGAAATACCAAGGAACTGACGAGACGATGAGGCACACCTGGACAAGACACGAGTGGCCGAGGGAGCCGGCGGGTCCACACAAGAGACCAGGCAGACGAAAACAAGTGGTCATTAAAAGTACAACGAGAACGACAAGACATGAAAAGGGATACAGGGAATACAGGATAAAACTCAACGCAATCAAAACCCCGTCAACACAACCATAAATCATGGACATGGATTACTGAGACGTTTTTTTTTTTTTTTTTTTGTGCGTCTGCTTATAATCAACACGTCTTCCAACTTCACTGTTGCAAAGTCAAACTGGCTTTGGAGGCGGAATTTTCAAAAACTTTTTCCCTCCTCCCTTTTTTTTTTCAACAACCTCACCTTTTGGGTCGAGATAATTTCATATTTAAAGCCCAGATGGGGAGGCGGGGGGGGGGGGGGGAATAGCATTGACACACGTCCCCCCCCTCCCCCCGCCCTCCACTTCTCCTCTCCGTTGCAAATAACAAACAGCATTTGCAATCATGTGCAATAATTTGAGCCTGATGCTCCAACGGTGGAGTCTTGCAATGTTGCCACTTCGGGCTTTATTGAAAAGAGGCGAGCGAGTGAGCAAGCCGGCGTCAGTCTTGACGCGTCTCCCCAGGTACGTTGCATCAGTCCTTCCGTCGTTGGTTCGTTACGTCCGCCGCCACGAAAGACTCATTAAGGACCCAGCCAGACTCCACGCTTTGTCTTCTCGCCATCCTCGCGGCGGGCTTGGTCAGTCGGCCTCTGACATGCACGAGCGCAGATTGAGTGCACTAGGCTGAGTGAGATGCAAATATGACTTGATGTTTCCCAATTAGCTCAGAACGTGCATCTCCATCATGACTTTGATGTGGCATGAGCGGATTCGTTCTAATTCAGAAACACTTGAATTCAATGACAAGAAAATTGACGCCAATTATGATGTAATTGAATGCACTCCGACGAAAATGCAACATTTTGACCCAGTACTCAGAGTGCTTTGAATCTGAAAATGGATTAGTTGCGTGTGCAACAAGACCCCTCGGGAATTTTTTATTATTTTTTTCTTCCCCTTCCCTTCATCTTTCCGGCGGTCCAGTCGTTAGCGCATCGACCTCACAGTGCAGAGGTACCGGGTTCAATTCCAGCTCCGGCCTCCCTGTGTGGAGTTTGCATGTCCTCCCCGGGCCTGCGTGGGTTTTCTCCGGGTACTCCGCTTTCCTCCCACATTCCAAAAACATGCATGGCAGGCTGATTGAACACTCAAAATTGTCCCGAGATGTGAGTGTGAGCGAAGATGGTTGTGGGCAACCGGTTCAGGGTGTCCCCCGCCTACTGCCCGAAGACGGCTGAGATAGGCTCCGGCACCCCCCGCGATCCTAAAGCGGAACAGAAAATGGATGGATGGAGGGTTCATCTTTCCTTTATTTGGTACAGAAGCATGGAACTGCCAATGAGTTGTCAACATTTTTAGCTTCCAAACTCGTTCGAATATATTTGCAACTACATTCAAATGGACTTGGTGGCTAACTGCTAAAATCATAGCATTTTTTTCCCCATAATGCCGTGGGGTATTGACTTGCGCGAGTGCATACTCTGTGGCATGATAGGAAATGTTTGTATGTTTTAAGCATTTAGCCTGCAAGTATGTTTGCAAGTACGGTGGAATGAATTTGCCAGTCAAATGTTTACTCCACTTTAGCAGTTCCGCCCCTCCCTTAATTTGGCCTGAATGCGCATTATTCATTCTACTTAGCCCGATGAGACGCCCAATGAAAGACACTTTTGTTTGAACGTTTTGGAGGCGCACGCACTTCCTGACATGATCGATTTGCTCACGGGGATGTTTTATCTTGTGCGCAGCCCGAGGCCTCTTTCAAAGATCCCGGCGGGGGTGCGCCAGGGCAGGATGCCCCGGAGCTACGCAGCCTAGAGAGCGCACGGCAGGAAGCAGATTCAAATCACAGGAAGTGGCATCAGGTGGGGATCAAAGCGGCGCAGGTGGCACAGTAATCCAGAGAAATGAGAGAGTGCGTTCATGTGCGTCGCTCAGGCCATAGTTAAGTCAGACACTTGGCCTCTGATTTCATCACGTCGCTTATGAAAAAGAGTCAAGTGTAACACGTGCGCGCGCACACACACACACACACACACACACACACACACACACGCGCGCGCGCACGCAGAGTGCACACTGCTCCTCTGTTTCTTCAATATTTCATCATGTGGCATAAAGACACGCTAACCACGTGAAGATAACCTGCTGTGTGGGTGCGTGAAGAGGGCCAGCAAACTCTGTCTTGATTTACAGTAATCACGCAAATAATAGCAATAAAATATTAAAAACAATAAAAAAGGCAGATTTTTTTTTTTTTGAATTCATTGACAAAAATCCAGAAGGCTAGTTTTGAAGGTCCCATGGAAAGGGCCAAAAGGATCCTAAAATGGAAGCTTCAAAACAAAATGGCAGTCTTCCTGTGTGGCTTCTTAAAACTTAGAAGTCATATTAGAGATGTTTACTCACATAGTGTTGAGTGAAACTGTCTTTGGGGTCTGAATTGACGAAAAGTTGCGAGGACAAGTTCGTCTTGAAGGGCCAATGGAATTGGCTAAAATGACCCTAAAATGGCAGCTTCAAAACATGGAGCGTGGCTTCTTGAGATTTTTTTTTTAGGCACATTTACTCATAGGCATGCCTATCAAACTGTATGTTGCTGAGTAAGGCTTTCAGGACTGACAAGTTCTGTGACTAATGCCTTGAAATGGCAGTAATGAACCTAAAAATAAAATAAGATAAACTTTACATTATTTGTCCCACAATGGGGACATTTGCTTTTGCTTCGGAACAAAATAGCAAACTTCATGAATCTTTTGTGACATCTTCAATAACTATTTACATTTAAGGAATGAAAAATAATAAATACAAATGAATACCACAGTAAGAGTAACACCAAATGTTAGTTGTTAGTTATATTTCACAATTTAACTATTATAAAATTAACGGATGGAAGGATCGAGTGACATTTAAGGAATAATATAATACAGTACGTACACAAACAGTAGCGGCGGTCAACGCAGGGACAGGAAGGAAGCCAAAAAACCCAGGTGACCTCATTTCCTGTACAGCAGCGGATTGCTTGTTTGCTTCGTGCCTAAACTCGTGCGCATCCTGTCCTCGTTCACCCTTCTCTTCCTTTCGTGGGAAATTGTCCACTTTTAAACTTTTTTGGGGACAATAAAAAAAATTTGCTCATGTGTTGTATGTGGAAGAGGAGTGTCCGTCCACACCACACCAAACCCAAACGGAACACACCTTCACTGGTTGCAAAAGTCTGTCAATGAGTCAAGTGATTTTTTTTTTTTTTTAGAATTAACGTGACTAAAGTGGAAATGTACAGGGTGTGGAGCTCACGCATGGTAATGGATTGCAAAAGTTATCCTAGAAGTGTTTTGATGGTTACAAAACAAAACAAAACAAATAGCACATACATATATACAGTATTTTAAATAACAAGGTTTCATTCTACCCTCCAATTCTGTGCATTGTTACATCTCAAGAATTTTAAAATTTGACTTTACTATAAACTGAAAAAAACAAAACAAAACCAAAAAAACCGTTTAAAATGTCGTTAACTCATAATAGTTTGCATGCCAATGACCTGTACATTTCATATCCAAGTCATTTTTTAATCTTAATCAGCGGATTTATTAGTGAGACTGCTTGTCAACCTGGTAGTGTGTCAAAGGTCGATTTGGAAGCTGATGTAATCCGTTTTGTTTGCGAATATGATCACGTTATGCTCGTTATGAGTGACGTGTCTGCTGTCTGACGACGATTCCACTCCGGATTGCAACATCGAAACCCCGCCCTCATCTGGTGACGTCACTGCACGACGAGAGAAATTCAACAAAGGCGATCTCGCCAGGCGCTCAATCCTCGGTCCTCTCACTTTACTGGAAAAGTTCCACGGGACTCGTTGAGGACTCGGGATTCGTCGATTTGGCTTAAAACCCGAACAGAGCAAAAAGAAAAACAGTCAGCTGTGTGAGCGTCACGCCATTTGGATGTAAAACGGATTCTTTTTGTCTTGGTTTCCATCGCGCGAGCGTCGCTCTTTTGCACAAGCGAGAAGCGGGCGTCACACCCCGGCCAGTCCGTCGGTCCAGCCCTGCCCCGGGACGCAACTACTGCTATGGCCGCGACGACTCGTCCTTAACGGGGCTTGTCGTTGTCCAGCTCAGCCGGGTTCAACAGGATCCGGAGGTGCTCCCCAGTGCAAGGTAAGATTTACCATTTCTTTCGAAAGAACTTTAAATGACCAAAAGTAGCAACGCAAATTCACTTCCAAAGGCGATTTTTTTTTTTTTGTCTCCGACTTTACGAAGGTTTCTCAAAGTGGTTCGTGGACCAATCGACGTGAAATATCACCCCAAAAAGAGAAACAAATTTCAGAACTATGGAATAAAATGATTAAAGTGCGTGTAAAGTCATTGATTGCTCCACATTTTCCACGGCTCGATGCCGAAAATGAACAATTTCGTCTCCAATAAACAAGAGACGGCACGGTGGTAGCGGCTCGTGTATCCGTCTCACAGTTTAAGGTTCGAGTTTGCATGCATGTTCCAAAAAAACATTCGTGTTCGTTCAGTTGACCACTAAATAGTCTCTCGGTGTCAATGTAAGATTGTTTTTAAGTAACTTTAAAGGGTAAGGAGCAACGATAACTCAATTCACAAGTTGTTTTTTGTTTGTTTACGAGTTGGATGCAGGGTTTTGCAACGCGTGGCCCACGAGCATGTTGTGTAATATCGTAAGAAAGCAAACGCATCAGGAATGTTTCGTGCTTCCGTTAGATGCAAGATTTGTGCAACTTGAACAGTATTTTTTCACGACGTGATGCTGAAAATGTTTCAATGATTGTGCCCAGAAGAATTTTCTTCTTCAACTGTAGACACGCCGATGCAGTTCATCATTTACTTAAATGTGAGTTGAAACGATTCAATAACAAAGAAAACAATCAGCAAAATAATGAATCGACGCCAAGAGTTTTTTTTAACCGAGTCGTACTTTTAATCAACCGGAAAAAGTGTTTCATTCACGTTAAGCATCCTTGTAAACTTTTCCAATGACGCACACTTCCCTATAGGAAGTTTTCAATCGTGTCATCTTAATCAGTGGTAGACAAAGTACAACGTTTTTGATTAATCAACAATAATCTTTGCATTATTCTTGTAATCTGATTTATGATTTACAGGCTTGTCTTTACGGCGCACTTTTGTTTGGTAGAATTTGTGTGAATGAGTGAACTCTGAATAAAGTGGACAAAAAGACCACTTTTCATATTAAGTCATCTTTCATTTGCTTTTATTTTAGTTTACGACTAATCTAAAAGACCAAAACTTTATGTACAATAAATTAGATCAGTTATTGTGATACAGGATTTATTACTTGTTTGTTAAAAAAAACATGGAAAGAGGACATTGGAAAAATAATCCTTCATTAATTCACAATCACAATACTGAGGAAAAAAACATGACAGATTGTTTCAAAAAATGTTCAACCCTAAATTAAAAAAAACAAACAAATGAGCAAAGGTTTTGACTGGCACACACTCCAAATCAAATGTCGAAAAGGCACACATAATCTTTGTCAAACGTTGACGGGCCCTTAAAGGTTCCCCATTGACGCTTACTCTTGATCAACGCCACAAAGTTTGAATCAAAAAGTTTTCCAGTGATGCATCATTGTGTTTATAAAGTCATATTAAGTGGCCGTCACATTGCACTTGGTGTGTCATAGTGAAACTGCAAGTCCAACAAAAGCACCCTCTTCCTGGTGTGTGCGTGCGTGTGTGTGTGTGTGTGTGTGTCACAGGATGATATTACCATGGTGACTCAGCTTGTTTCACCAGAGCAGTGTTGGTCAACGGGTGTCTCTTTAAAAAGAAGGAAAGCAATAAATCAGACAAGTTTTCGGGGAATGGGAGTTCGCTTGTTGGTTGGTTGGCTGGTGTGTGTGTGTGTGTGTGTGTGTGTGTGTGTGTGTGTGTGTGTGTGTGTGTGTGTGTGTGTGTGTGTGTGTGTGTGTGTGGTCGCGCATGCGTGAGGTCCCCGCTATTTAAAACAGTTAAAACTATAAAGCGTTGTGCTCTGATGCAACGATCTGAAAGCGTCTGTCATCTTACAGGAAGTTGCATCATGCAGCCTATAGACGCGTGAACACGGGGCACAGTTGGAGTTGATACCCTCCCTGTTTTTTTTTTTTTTTTTTTTTACCGTACCAATATTCACGGGTGGAGGGGGGAATAACAAAGGGCGGCGTTCAGTCGAGAAATTGAGATGTTGTTTATGATGGCTCAACGTGTCAGTCAGGCTGTGTAAGTGCTCATTGGAGCTCTGTTGTTGCTAACCAAATCAGCAGCAGTGTTTCAAAATGCAACCCAACATGAATCCTTTCCTTATTTACACTTTGCTGCTCAAATTCACCGGCAGTGAACCCTCACAACTATTATTGACGTCCCAGGAAAAAAAAAGTTTGGAGTTACGGATGCCACAAGGCGGCAAAACAGGACATGTGTCTAAATGAAGCAAACGTGTCTCAACATATAGTTCTGCTTTGGAAATATTTTTTTCAGGCTGAAAAGTAAGTGGTGCTTTGCCACCGTCGTGTGACAAGGTTTTATTTGGAGTCTTAATTGCGAGTAAGGTTTTGCTGTCATCAGTGTTGAGTATTGATTATAGATTTGGTGATGTCACAGCCCAGTTCCCTCCTCCAATCACAGATGAATGTGGCTGTGGCCGAGCGCTGTTTGAAGAGATTAATAGACGAGTCCCAGGATGCGTCGCCCAAATGCAAAAGAGTCTGTCCGGACCTTCCGCCGCTGCCGCCGCCTCCTCCCGACACGAGCGCAGCAGTTCACCTCAGTCCGGTCAAAAGTCGCTCCCCTAAGTCCAACCACAGCCAATCAAAAGTCAAGGTTGGGCCTTACTTCCTGTTTGAGCGTTGCGAGGGCGAGGACACGTACAGAGCGGTGCACGCCGCCACACAGCAACAGTACACGTGTCAGGTAATCTTCGCGTGCATTCACTCATACCTTACCCTCTTTACAGTAGAGTGGAAATACGTTAATGGATAGATGCTTCCCTCGCCTAACCTATCTGGTTACCATGGTTACAGATCTTGCCCCTGCACAGCTACCAGGAGAAGTTGGCGGCCTACGCCCGGCTGGGTCACCACAACAACATCTGCGGCCTCCTGGACACGGTGATACGGCCGGATGGCGCCTACCTGTTCCTGCCGCCTCATCACGGCGACATGCACGCGTACGTGCGCAGCACAAAGCGCCTCGGCGAGGAGGAAGCGGGGCTCCTGTTTGCGCAGATGCTCGAGGCCGTGGCGCACTGCCACCGCAGCGGCGTGGTGCTAAGGGACGTCAAGCTGCGCCGCTTCGTCTTCACTGACAGATTCAGGTGAGTCCAACCAAGGCCCTGGTCGTTTTTTTTTTTTTTTTCCGATTCAGGTGAGTCCAACCAAGGCCCTGGTCGCTTTTTTTTTTTTTTGGGAAGCTTTTTAACTGCCATTTGAACTCAGCAGCACCTACCGAAGCACTTGAGACAGTCAGAGGAATGCACCGTCTTAGCAAACCTGTAATATTGTGCCGGGAACTATGACAGATCATTTCACGTAACAGTGATTAGTTTTAAAAATAAGAGCAAAATGAAACATTTGTCCCATTGTCATTCTGTTGCGAACCAAAATACAAGCATGTAAACAGTCAGTGCATATATTGTCGAGTAAAAAAAAAAATATAGCATCCATTTTGTTGTCAACTATAAACATTTGTCCCATTGTCACTCTGTTGCGAACCAAAATACAGGCATGTAAAAAGTCAGTGCATATATTGTCGAGAAAAAAAAAATATAGCATCCATTTTGTTGTCAACTAATGAGAAACAAACCAATGACGTGACCTGTTGTTCCCCCGCAGGACCCGCGTGGCCCTCCTCGGCCTCAACGACTGCGTCATCCTCCAGCCCGGCGAATCGGACTCCCTCTCGGACCGCCACGGCTGCCCCGCCTACGTGGGCCCCGAGCTACTGGCCAGCGGCAAGGCGTCGTACTCGGGCCGCGCCGCTGACGTCTGGAGCCTGGGCGTGTCCCTGTACACCATGCTGATGGGACGCTACCCCTTCCAGGACACCCGGCCCGCCGCCCTCTTCGCCAAGATCCGGCGCGGGGCCTTCAGCCTCCCCGCCTGGCTGTCTCCGCCGGCCAAGTGCTTGATCGCATGCATGCTGCGGAAGTCCCCCGCCGAACGCCTGCAGGCGTCCGAGCTGCTGATGCACCCGTGGTTGAGCGGTCGCCGCGCCGCGCCGACGGCGCCGCACGCGATCCTGCTGCGCGCTTCGGGCCGGGCGCTGGAGTTGAGGCATGGGGATGACGAAGGCGGTGACCAGGTGGTGCCCACGTGCGCCCAAAAGCACTAACGAAACATTCACGAACTTGACACTACTCCAGAGTCCTGGATTACTTGAGCCTCAAGTGCCTTCAACCCCACCCCCCCAGCAGCAACGGCTCTTTATCAAACACCAAAAAACTGTACACTAAATCCTAATTTGTGGTCTCGAAGTAGGGACGGTAAATCTCGTATATTTGTGAGTGATAGGGAAAAGACATACCGCCCTTTCTCAATAAAGGTTTCGAATTGCCCCTGGAGGCCACAAAATGGCAGCAACCTATTTCAACATAGTCACTTTACAACAAGATGCCACAAGCAGAGCGCGATTTTCACCGAGATGAAACTCAACTCACTTCAACAAGGTGCCTTGACAACAAGATGGTGGCAAGGCATTAGTTTTGTCTGACTGAAACGCCACAACCCACATCAACATGGTTCATTGATGCCGGCAAAACGCGATTTTAGTCTAAATTAAACTCGTGGTGGTCTCCCAAAAGATCCCAAGACCACAGTATAAGGGAGCAGGGAATGAGTGACTGATTCTCAACAGCATAGCGGCTGTTATGTGAAACACCCTAAAGACACCCACAAGATGGCGCCAAAGCCGTGTTGGATAGAAGTCTGCTTTGGCACCACCTTGTGGCATTTTGGTGCCGGGGAACTATGCTGGGTTGAAAGACAAACCTAATTCCTTACCAGTCGGAAAGTAGTGCTTTGGCGCCGTTTTGATGCTCGTACAGGCAATTCTAAACATTTTTAGGGGGATGTCAATTACTGAATATTTGCTGTTTTAGGCAGGGTTCGTGTTGCGTCTCCACAATTTGAGTTTAAGTATTTGAAAATGTCAACTTCTCAGTGGAAGTGTTTTGCCAGATTTTTCCCTCAACACCACTAGACTTGGACGTGGGTGTTCCACAATGTTGTGTGCGTTGATGTTAATGTTCCGGGGGCGCTCCATCACATACATATAGTCTACCTCGGTTCCTGTCATTTAGCTTCCTTTCTCCGAGCTTTCTCGTCCCTCAGCAGGCTGACATGCGGCCGCTCCACAGTGTTGTGTGACAACATGCGAAGTGGTTCGTTTTCCAAAACGAACCGACTTGGAAGCAGGCGGCGATCACGAGAGTCCTGCTGGAGCCCGCTCAACAGCTGCACAGTGAATAAAAATTTCACAAAATACTGTTTTGTTCGCCTTCTTTTTTTTACCGCACAATCTTTTTGGCGATTGTTAAAAATAACGTAAATCTGAACTAAGTCAATTTTCTCAAGCCAATTCAATAAAAATGCAGCAACAACAAATTCTGTTGTGCATTTTTTTTTTGTTGTTCTGCAAATTGTCTCCATTGTGAGACAAAAGTTTTCTGATCTCCCTTCGTAAAGGGCTCTCTCGCATAAAATTCCCATACTAAGACACAAAACTACTGAACGGCAGACCAACATTCAATGCAACAAATGAATTTTGTGCAAAGTCAAGAAAATTTATTCGGGTCTCCTTAAGTGGCATTGGAGCGACAGGAAATGTTGCTATACGCCAACAGCTTCTTCAGGGAGACAATATGGCCTCGGCTACGCAGAGCGACACACACTGTAACACGTCGCGGCCACAAATGTAAGTCAGGTTTGTGCCACAATCGGTAACATCCCAGACAAGATCTGCAATCAAACGGGCACAACCAATTAGCCTGATCATGTTTCTACCAAGTTCACAGAAGATGAAAGGACAAGTACACAATGGAAGTAAATGACGTTCCCCATAAATCAGATGAAAGAAGAACACTTTTACCGTTGGTCTGTATGGCTATACAGCCCACATCAATCGAGCCCGCCAGCTGAGATTCGGCAAACTCTGTTTCCGAGCCATCAGTCCACATCACGTCGCCCTGCAGGAACCGAGATTTGCACCAAATCAGTACTTGAAGTTTTCATTGAGCTCATTCAAGACGAGAGATAGGGATCAAAGACAAACTAGGGAATTGTTTGAAACTGGCTATAAAATCCTTAATATGTGTGGTTGAAATCAGTGTTTCTCAAAATGCGATGTGCATACCACTCATGGTACTTTTTTTTTTAACCTTTCACATAGTTAAAAAAAAAGTTGTTTAAAATTTAACCCCCACCCCCTCGCATCCCCAAGTATATTAATAGCACAACATGACTCCATTTTAACGTCTGTCATCACAGAGAGTGACGTGGCTTTTGAGGTGGTACTTGGGTGTAGTAGTTTTGAGAAGCACTGCTTTAAATATGTTCCACGGCCGCAGGTCAATGTTTCACCGCCAAATCGGTCTTCGAGAGTCCAATCCAGATGGCGATCGCATCGAGAGACAGTGTCGTGAGCTCATTGACAACAGCCAGTTCCATATCACTGTGGATGGACACCAGATTGCCACGAAGAAGGTTGCAGGACTTCTAATTGGACAAATAAAACATTTCAAAGATCATTTAGTGCTCACTGTGAGTACTGTGAGAGTCTATCCATATGTGTTGCGCCACCGTTTGTGTTTAAATATGAGTTGCTGAAAACCCTCACAAAAACATTTAGCCTCTCCAGAGCATTTTCCATTAGATGCTAGCATCAAGTTGTTTTGCCTGACGATATTACATACACAAAGTGTTATTCTCTTAGTTGTATGTTTGGTTTGACAGTCAGCGTCAAGTGAAATTGGTATGAAATACCGTGAAGCAACGTTCACATTTGTTCAAATAACTGCTGCCTTTTGTGGGGTGAGTTGAATTGAGTTCATTGGCATTATACAGCGCTTTCATCACAACTCTGAGCATTTAAAAAAAAATTGCATGAGTGAATGAGGGCACATGCCTGGAAAAACTCATGAGTGAGTATCTCATGGCACAACCAACATGACAGAGAGTTACAAGAGAGTTGAGCCATTTGTTGTGCCGTTACGACTGTCGGGAATTCTTTGCTACCTCTGCTTGATCAAATGTCTCAGCATTATTTTGGTAGATGAAACAACGATTGTTCAACTGAGTCCAGCCTGCAGGGCATCTGTCACCTGCAACAAAACAAGTCAGCATTTGTTTCATTCCATCTCAACTTTCTTTTGTACGTAGTCAACATTACCCGTTGTCACTCGCCAAAAACGTATTTGCGATCCACTCGTTGGAAAATTCACCTATTTCCATTTTTGTTTGTGAGAATCATCCTCAGCTGTGAGCCCTGAAACACGCTGACATGCTGCCAAAGCAGTTGTGTAGGAATTGGTGTCAATGAAATATGTTGGAGTGATCATCTGCAATGCCTCAACAGCTTCATGTTCACCTCTTTCCTGATTCCACTCATACCTTGCTGAGATTCTCACCCTCGCGTCAACCAAGGTGTGCTACAAGCCGCCATAATTAGCCCCCTTTATGTTCATTGACACCACTCAAGTTTCAAGATTCAGGTCCCAAAGCCAGTTTTACTGAGCAACGTCAAATCTGGTTATTAAACTAAAATGAAAAATTGCCAATCAAACACTCAAGAAGCCGTGCTTGAAAAGACGGGATGTCCTGAAACTGTCTGAAGCAGTTCAGCTTCTGGCGAGATTGGCAAGTTGTAGGCATCGTGTCCAATGCTACAAAATTCAAATCATGCATACCAGACAGATGCATGACACAACATCTGAGATTTTGACGTCGCTTGTGGGTGAAGCTTAATAACTCCCGATCGAAGAAATTTGACATGATAAATTTACCACTGAAGTAAGTAGAAGTCAGAGGTAGCCTACATACTTTTCGTTGCTGTTCCATCCTGAGCAGGCTGTAATGAGGAAGGACACCTTGTTTAGCACAAACGCAGCAACTGATGTCGCTCCACTTTAAAGGTTGTGAATTCATGATTTCAAATATTAGTCATCATTGATCATGAAGAGTCTGTTTTGACTCACAGTCCCAGTGATCAGGTGGCTGATTCCACAAAGGAAGAACAACAAGCCGAGACCATGCGCCATCTGGGGAGTGACACACCAATGCATCGTGTTGGCTGTGTGGTTTACATTTGACATCAATAACGATTGTCGGGGAAAAGAAGAGAGCAAAAAAGCGCAGCCGTTACCTTTGCAGTGGAGATGCTCAGCGAGGAAGGACAGGGAGGAGACATCTTTTTATATGGGTGGGTAGGATGTCACATGACTCCCCAGACGAGTTCTGCCACAAAAACGAACAAAAGTCATCGTGGTTGACAATTTGTCAAAACGTGTTTGGAGGCAAACTAACCTTCCCCGTTGTTACGATGGCCTAAGGCCGAGTGTCTGTGCGATGCGGTGCGTGGCTGCTAAGGGACAAGTCACAGCAAATTTTCAGTCCAGAAAAATTCAGGGAGCGACTACGATCGCCATAAAAGCTATCTCTGCAGTGCAACCCCCGTCTGTTGTACGTTTGGCTTATGGGAAATTCCCAACCGAATAGCTCCCTTCTGTTCACAATGTACACTTCCTTGATTTAGTTTCCCGATGAGGACACCCAAATGGTAACATAGGTCATCGTATATGAAGGAGCCATGAGGACACAGGAAGTTTGCCAAGTAGTTTCAAACCTCCATGAGCATGTCTTCGTGTTCTGCCATTTTGTACAGGAATTGGGGGGGGGGGGGATCCCAGAAGGAATGACTCCAGAAATCCCCCTAAATTTTTAACTGGAACTTATTCGAGCCTTCAACGAACGCAAAATACCTCTGCAGGGGTGATGCTCAATTCCAAGGAGAAGGAATTCAGAGACATCTTTTTATACACTGGTCACAATGATAAATGATTCAGCAGATGGATTCTGCCACAAGCGGGCAAGCCAGCCGGCAAAGAAATGTTTCTCTGTTTGACAATTTGCCATAGCGTGTTAAGTGGCAATCACAACTGGGGGGGGAAAATAGTTTACGAAATATTCAGTTCCAGTGCTCTGAGTGAAAATAAATAAATAAGTTGCCCAGTAATTGTTGCAGCGACTGTATATTGAGTCAAGCTCTTTTTCATTTGACGTCACATGAAGGGAGTGAGCGACAACAACACACTTCTGTTCTCCTGTCTTGCCGCTCAGTGTCGAAGGGAAGTACCGTCGTACAATGCCGGCAAATGACACCGAGTCCTGTTATTTTAGTCTGCTGCTAGCTGCTCAAAAACCAATTTCGGATACCCTGAAAAGCAGGGGGGGGGAATCGAGAATCGTTTCGAAAACCGGAATCGAATCAAGCAACCGGAACCTTTTAAATTCAAATGATGCCCAATCCCACTCGATAGCATACCAACCCTCCAAATAACATCCGCACAGTATGAGGAAGTGCTTCGTTTTACTGTGACTTGGCAAGCCAACAATGAACGAGTGCAACGCGGCAAAATGGTTTAGTTCCCGGATGTGTTTATGGGTGGCAAATTGGCTTTGTCTATTAGTGATGGGAATTACGGCTCCTTTTAGGGAGCCGGTTCTTTTGGCTCGGAGACCTGAGGTGTTGACGCTTATGCGAAATTGGGGTTATTTGATATAATTACCGCCCGCAGATTTACGTAGGCAAGGACATTGAGAACCAATCTATTTGTGTGAGAACCGGTTCCCTCATGTTGATTGCTATGAATCATTCATTAGTTTGCCGAAGTATTCTGCATGTCTAAAATGAGTGATGACGTCACACGCAAGATGTCTGTTGTATCATGAAACCCCGAGCCTTACTCTAATGTGTGGGGCATTGCGTGTTTCATACACGAATGTAGCGTCCGAGACGAATACACAACAGTCACTTTTCGAGTATTTTACCGTTGTGCATCACCCCCAAATCATTAAAAGGTTTTCAAAAGTAATTTAAGCATTTAATTATTTGAAAACAATTACGTGCTTTGGCATCATAATTTGTTGTCTATTTCTGGTATTAATACAGGCAAATCTTTTCAGGTAGGGTTGTCACAGATTTTTGCCATTTGAGCCTTGCCTCTGAAGGCATTGCTTCACACTACTAATTACACTTAAAAAAATAAATCTCATGCAGCCGATTTATCGATTAAAGGCAATTTTTTCAAGATTAGAAATGAAAGAAAATCAAAGGCATATTGAGAATCCTGTTTATTGCTAAATGGATTTTAGAGTCTGGTTCCTCCATCTTTCTGGCTCAACTTGGACTTTATTGCACATCAAGTATCGATCAAGGCGATGAACCGATCAGGAGCCGGACTCAGTGTCCATGTCGTCGGTGTCGTCGGATTCTTGACGGCAGATTTCCTCAAAGGCCAGCTCTGACAGATATGGAGGAATAATAATAATCACTTCAGAGTCATCAGGATATCAAAAAAATGCAATCCGGCAAAAATCTGTGGAGCGTTCTTTTTTTAAATTGGCAACCAAAAAAAATCTAGAAAATAAATGTCTGGGTCGCATTAAAAAAAAACCAATTAATTCCACACAAATGTCCTATTTCTTAAAGTGAGCATCATTGAAAAAGAGAATTTTCTTTTTTGGGGAAAAAAAAAAAAACATCAAAATTTGTCAGACCCGACTACAAACAGTCATTCTTGCATTTTTTTGGATTGCCACTTAAAATTGTAAAGAAGAAACGATCCCCTCATTTTGGGCCTACCTTCGCTCTCGCTGAGGTCGGGGATCTTCCTGAAGATGTCGCGCAGGGCCGAGATGGCCTGGTCATACATGTGCAGCAGCGGCCTGCAACTGGCCGAGAATCCGGCGTGATGGTGGAGCAGCCGGTGAAGGAGAAGGACGCACTCGCGCAGCAGCGATGCCGGCGGTTCGCGCCACCAGTCACTCTGTGCCCGCGAGGGGCCGACGCCGGGTGACCTGTCCGTCGGCTCCGGAGAGTTGTAAAGGTCCAACCACTGACGATGGAGAATGATCACCGACGTCTGAACCACCTGACACAGTTCGGACAATGCCAGTGCGTACACCATTTTCAGGTTTGTTTTTTTTTATTGCGATCATTAGAAGACACTATCATTTTACTTTGTCACAAATATATTTCAAGTTAAATTTTGGGAGTTGGACATTTCCTGTGTGTTGAAATCAATGAATAATCATGCTTATTAACTCATTCAGTACCAGCAAATTCTGGACCAAGTCTGAAAAGACGTTTAAAAATGTATTTGGGAGTGAATGAGTTAATCGTGATTTCAATATCACTCAGAAAAGAGTGATCATGTTTTCCCCCCATAATTGCGCAGCTCTACTTTTATTTAAAATGTTTGCTTGCAAGTTAATAGCCAAAAATCGGACAAATTGCTTGACAACTCGTGTGCAGGGGCAAAATCACTGTTCAAATGCCCCACTGTATGTACATTTCTGTGTGTGTGTGTGTGTGTTACCTCAATGTCGCACTGGCAGCTGCTGCTCTGCCAGCTCTCTGCTGTCTGAGAGAGACGGTTCAACAAACGCACCACCTAGAGGAGACAAAATAAGAGCGTTAATTTAGTCTCCGATGGGAGCGGCGCAGACAACCACAAATTGTCCCGGCGGGACGAGCCGAGCACCTGCAGTTCCAGCCGGATGAGCTCGCCGTGCGACGCCTTCTTGACGGGTCTTTTTCGCACGTGCTGCAGCAGCCTCAGGATGACGCAGGGTTCTGCGGAGAAACACAAAACGCGTTTGCGGCGTGGCCCTACGTGGAGGCGACAAACACTCAAAACCAGAACAAAAAGGGAAAGAAAAACTTCCGTAAGGGTTTTGTTGACGTCACGCTTGGGACGAAACCTCACCGTGATGGGAACAGAGTTGGCGAGTCAGCGAGGCGTGGTCACATGCGCGCACCATGGCGGCGGTGCACTCGGCGAGCACGCGAGGCTTGCGGTGGGCCAACGCGCACGCATGCAGCGCCTTCAGCACACATTGCAACCTGGGGGAGATAGATGGAGAATGTGCAAATTCTTTATTTTTTTAAAGAGTATTTAACAGAAAGAAAGAAAAAAAAAAACGGGGGGGTTATATGATATTGATAAGTCAGAAATGTAGGTCAAGGAAAGCGGGGGGGTTATATGATATTGATAAACCATAAATGTAGCCCAAAGATAGTCTTGGTCCCAAAACAAAAGCGCTACCGGTCAGCATGCGCGTTTGGTGTCCTCTCAATCAAGATGCTGGCGACCTTCACGGCGCCGACCACCATCTCCTCCAGCCTTCCTTCACCTCTACTGGCGTGGCAGAGGCGCAACACAAACTGCAGCAAGGCACAGTGGGAGCGGAGAGCCTCCATTGCGATGGCGACGTCGGTCTGACACGACAGAGTTCGAATTTAATCAATGGCCATGAGCATGACACTCGACAAAACATAGTCCTCCCCCCCCCGAAATCCGAAGCGTACTTTGCCCTTTCGGTGTCCCAATACTTGGTTTTCTGTGCCACCTTCGCTTTGTGTTGAAAGAACTGCCTGGACTACCTGCAGCGCATCAAGCGTGTCAGACCTCGGGTCTTCTCACCCGCGCGTGTGCACGGTGTGGTGTGTCAGCAAACCTCGTCGCTGTGGTTTATTAGCATGTAGAGGATCCTCAGCGCTGCCAGCCCCGCGTCTTCCAGACTAACGGCGTCCACCTCCTCCGGCCTCCCCGGTGCCGTGGTGGCGGTGCGGCGTTCCGGCGCAGAGCCGGAGGCCTCGCCCCGTGCGTCCAGGGCCTGGCAGAGGTGGGATAAGTGCATGTCCAACAGCGGGAGCAGAAGCACAGCCCCAGGACACCTGTTATGATTCACGGGGTGAAAGTAAAAATGAATGGATTGATCGAAAGACTGAAGTCGTGAAATCAAATGAAGCAGATGAATAGAAATAATAGTTCTCTGAAAGCGTTAACGTGTCTCTGAAGGTGCTCCCCCTGCCCCCACAGCTACTGTGTACTGTGCAGAGTGTCCAGCAATTGGCCACGGGAGGACGAAGCGACGACGTGTTGGTGCGCACCCGTGTTGGTGCTCAGCGTCGGCTGCCGCAGGTTGACTTTGACTCAGCATGTTGAGTCCCGTTATGGCCAAACTCTGGATCGGACTGAGGGGCGCTTGGGGGGCTCTGCTTTGATTCCTGCCCGCACCGGCTGGCCTGCACACAAGCAATGACGTAAAAGCTCCAGTTAATGCCCCCCCAAAAAAAAAACAAAAAAAAACATTGACACCCACATTTTACATCTAAACAATCACACACACACAAACACGCCCTTTTGACATGAACACACATTGCATCTTGACACACACACACAAGCACATTTCACATGTTGACTCATGGACATCATATCTCGAGAAACACACCCATATTCACGCATACCCCTGAAACGCACATCGCATCAAGTCTTGACATGCTCAAAAACACACTCACACTCACACACACACACACACACACACAGTATTGTATAACTAGGCGTGCGTTAGACCTCAAGTGCCTCTTAGCAGCGGCCGAGTTGGGCTTGGCCGTCAAGCAGACGTCACTCGGGCTGATGGACAGCAGGTGCGAGAGGCAAAGACTGCTGGGAGAGAGCGGCTGCTGCAGCAACAAGCCCAACAGGACGCCACCTACGGACCAAAAGACGGAAGCATCATCACTCAGGGACAAATGTTGACGCTTCAGAAATTAAGCTCCATCGGACACGTCAGTTGGAAAAGGACGAAAAAAATGGAGGCTGTGTTGCATTTACTTCACGACTTGCTTTTCAATTTTAGTCAAGAAGAGGCTGAGCGCAGGAAGAAAGCAGAGTGTTAGTTGCCCTCATCCCCCCCGTCCCCTTCTCGCTGAGATGAATGAAGCTTCAATGATCATGAGTGAGCTGACAAAAAAAAAAAAAAAAAATCTGACCTCGGTGCAGCTGGTGTGGCGGCCGGCTGCACTGGAACGGATCGGGCCAGGCTACTTCCTGCTTGTCAACACCTGCATTGCAAAATTACCACCAGAACTCTCCTTTCAACGCGGCCCGATGTCACCCCACCCCCCACCCCGGCGCCGGGTCCCGCGACTCACCGTCCCTGTGCGTCTTGCCGGGAGTTTTGAGCGGCGAAGCGAACGTCTCCTTGGTGATGAAGCCGCTTCCTGCCGCCGAGGAGGAGCCGCTACTACCGCGCTGAAGGGAAAGCCCATTGGGTACTTTGGAGCTAAACAACACACACACACGCACGCACGCGCACACACAGAGCGTTACTTTTGCTTTAACTCTAAGCTGGCATCTCACGCCGAATGGTGAGCGTTTTAACTCTCAATGAAGCGGAGGGGCGGACCTGTTTCGCGGCAGCGGCGACGCCGGCTTGCTCCTGTCGGCGCTCAGCAGTTTGCTCTTCATCTCGTTGATCTCGGCTTCTTTGAACTGCAGCTCCGACTGCAGCGACTGAACCTGCGAGCAAAACATCGCAGGCTCGTTGTCACACCCAACCAACGAGTCAGGAATTACATCTCCAAAATGCTTTTGAGGTCATTAATACTTTTTTTGTGCCTTGAATCATGTGGTAAAACGAGATACATTTGATTTTAGATGGACTCTCTATAGCTTTTGGGGTCCCATTGTACTTGAATCAGTCCTCAGAAATTACCGATAGATGACAAGAGGATGGTGGAAAAACACGAGTCAAAATGAAGCTCCTCAACTCACTTCAAAAGTTCCTTGGTGCCAGAGCACTATTTTGGTAAAAATTACGTCCCTTAACTCACTTTAACATACCTTCCTTGGCACCAGGATACCACAGGATGGTACCAAAGCACAACTTTAGTCTACGTGAAGCTCCTCAACTCACTTGAACATAGTTCCTCAGCACCAAGACAACACAAGGACTACTTTTTGGACAATGAAGCCCCTGATCTATCTTTGACACTGTTCCGTCACACAGAGATGCCGAAAGACTGTGCCAAAGCACCACTTTTGTCTAAACCGAGCTCCTAAACTCATTTTTAACACTTATCCTTGGTACCAAAATTCCACAAGATGTTGGCAAAGCATTACTTTGACCGAGTCGAAGCTTCTCAACTCATTTCAAGATACTTCCTTGGCATGCCACAAGATGGCCTCAGCACAGAAAAGGTGATCAGTGAGTTTTTTTAGTGAATAAATATGAAAGAGATGCGTCCGCAAGTCGCAAATAGCAGGGAGGGGCTTGAGTCTACTTGCCTTCTTGTTAAGCTCCTTCTCCTTGTCGCTCTGCTCCCTCTGCTTCTGCCTCTCCAGCAGGGCCAGGGCTTGCCTCTGGGTTTCCTTCTCCTTCTGGGCTCCTCTCAGGGAATCCCTGAGGACCCGGATCTCACCGTTTTTCGACACAATCTCCTCCTCCACCTCCTTCAGCTGGCCACACGACGCAAAGAGACCACAGACCTCCCGCTGCGGTGTTCCGCCTCCACGGTGGACATTTTGAGACGCACCAGCTCACCTTCCTCCGGAGATCTGCATGCTGAGCCTCCAGCAGGATGTAGGAGTCCTCTTGGTGGGCACCAATCTGCCAAGGCCTGTTGCCTGAACGCCCTCCTGTCAAAATAAATAAATAAATAAAAATAAAATAAAATAAATAAATAAAGTCACTCGTTCCCAGCTGTTTTCGGGGGGAAGGTGGGGTACACCAGGAACCAGTTGTTAACCAATGGCAGGGCACACATAGACAAACAACCATTTTTAGTGAAATACAGGACCCTTTTTGGACCATTTGCGTATCTGTGGTTTTATTGTTTTGCTCTTGATTGTAAAGTGTCCTTGAGTGTTGTGAAAGGCGCTTATAAATAAAATGTATTATTATTATTATTATTACAATTGGGAAACTTCACACGGTCCATCAGCTGACCCCTCACATGACACTAATGGAATCTGTGCTTTTAACAGCACTTTAAAGTTTTGGCCCTGAAAAGAGAGATTTGTGGGCACATAACTCACCTGTTGGCTCTTTGTCGGGTGCCCCCAAATGTCCTCTCTTGCCACCAAGACCGCCCTTGTTCTCTCTGGTGGAGGGTTGAAATCCTGACCCGTGCGCTTGTTCGAATACAGCTTTACTTGCCTCTTTGGACCCGAAAACCGGCGCGGTCGCCAAGCCTATAGCCTGCGAGGCAATGATGTCGATCTCGTCCAGGTCATCCTGAGTGAAGTCATCATCGTCCCCAAAGGGGTCGACTTCGACAGGATCCGCCTTTGGGACATCCTGGTTCAAGCCTCGGAGGCGTTTGCAGGGAGGGAAGGCCATGCTCTGTATGAGAGACAAAATGAAAGTCTCTCAAAGCAGGAATCCACGGATCTATGATTTGTTAGGGAGGTTGGGGGTAGAGCTTGTGGATTATTTGAAGCAAACAATGGCCTTTTAGCGCCAAAAATGACCGAAATAATGTTCACCAGAGCCATAATTGTGACTTTCAAGGTTGTGTTTTCCTGCATTTAAAATTTGAAGGTGGCCACTTCCCTAATTTGTCTGTAAAAATTCTGTACACATACGTTTGTGTGTGTGTGTTTACATCTGAGATCAAATTTGCTACAGTGAAAAACCCCCTGTTGTGAAAGATTTCTTGCTGCAAACATGAGGAGAGGAGCTCACTGTATTATCATTTCAGGAAAAAGCAGACGTTAAATAACAATACAATCCATGTAAATAATGATACAAATAGTCTTTGTTTAGCCAAATGAAGAGCGCATACGAATGATTGGAATGGTACCACTGCTGTCTCAATTTGAAACAGGAGAAAAATCTCCGAAAAGTTAAAAAAAAGGAATCCAACCATTTTATTGTAATCTTGCTGATCTTTTGAAGAAAATTGTGTGTGTTTTTACCTTTGAGTCCGGTGCTGTCAACTTCTGATTAGCACAACAACCGAATTACCACACTGAATGGCAGTTTAGCCGGCTGCTAGGCTAACGGAGCACAATCCCAGTCAACGAGATGTTTGAACGATGTGCAACCACGTTGTTACACGGAGTGCATCCGCATCATTCAGTCGCTAAAATGTGCGTCAAGCTAACGCATCGTTTAAAAATAATTCTCAGTTTAAACGACCCACGCAGTATGAGTAGCAAAAGGAAGAAACGAGTTTTCGTCCCTCAACTCTCCATGCAAATGACTAATCCGACCAATGAAAACACGGTTTAGATTTGTTTTTTGGACCAATCTGAGGAACGCCTAACTTTTATGCTACGGGTACTGGGTTAAGACAAATGGTACCGATTTGCGCATTCAACCGCGGTGGTAAACATTCTACAGGTAAGTATTTTTAACTGTTGATTTACTGCTTGTATCTGCACGTTTACATTATGCATTATGTGTGTTTTAGTGTTCAAGGATGTTTGTTTACGAATTCAGTCGAAAAATTACTCATTTCATCTCTCTTCAGCGTTTACTTTCTTAAATCGAAAACGAACAAATACTTTCTAAAGGTGTTTATACAAGTTCTTTTAAGTCATACCGTGTATGAGAATGTTAATAACGCATATTTACGTTTCTAAAAGTAGCCAAAGTCCCCTGGAACCGAATCGAATGTTGAAAAAAAAATCCCTGTCTACTGCTCGTTACCGCCCTCTAAAGGCAAGAGGTAGAAATTCATCAATTCCCATTACGAGGCATCCAGATGCTCTCCTACATATGAGAATGCAGGGTAGCATCCAGCAGCTCACTGTGGGACGAATACAGCAAAAAGTCTTCCAACTCAATTTTCCCCGCACATCCATCATTGAACAGCCAAAATAATGAACCATTTAGTCCCACTTTGTGTGTGTGTGTGTGTGTGTGTGTGTGTGTGTGTGTGTGTGTGTGTGTGTGTGTGTGTAGTCCCTGGTCATTCCTTTGGCTGTTCAATGGATGTGTGGGGAAAATTGAGTTGGAAGACTATTTGCTGTATTCGCCCCACAGTGAGCTGCTGGATGTTACCCTGCATTCTTATGTATAGGAGAGCATCCATGCATCTTCTCACTTAGCAACAGCAAGTGTGTGTTCCATTAATAGACAGGCAGGTCTGAGACACTCTGTGTGCGTGCATGTGGGAGAGGGAGAGACATGCATACACACAATACCACCAACCCCCCCGCCCTCGCCTCCGTTCTCGAGCCCTGAAATGGCAGAGCTCAGCGAAAGGCACCATGATGCATTGCAGCCATCTCACACACACGCACACACACACACACACACACACACACACACGTATATACTGGGTTGGTATCCATAGCAACTGAAGCACCAGGGCAGGATCGGTAATTATGATGGAAGGCTTCATGCACGTGAGCATGAGGTGTAACACTGTGAAAGCGCGTGACTTTATCACGCCTCTGTTACGGCTGTGATACGATACCCGCAAAGGTGGAAAATTGCCAGGTTGACTTGGTGTCGCCCATTCAGAGTCGGTGTTGTGACGACAGAATGGCAACAGGGGGGAAAAAGGCCGAAAACTGACATCAGCATGGAAGGAGAAAACAAAGACAGTAGCCTCTTTCACACAGAGACCCTGCAAAATTGCCGCATCAGAGGTATAATAGTAGTTTCAGAATTCATTTGCTTTTTATCTCGAACCAATGGGGAAAAAGACGCATGTCCACAAGCATAATGCTTATCATTTCAGAGCACGTTGTAATTTTGGAGTAGCGTGGAAATATTTGAACTTGTTTGTTTTTGAATGAAATAATTTCCTTGACATCACACAGCTCTTTCAAAGTCTTTTCAACAAACGTTTCACACACACACACACACACACACACACACACACACACACACACACACACACACACACACACACACACACACACACACACACCCATGCTGGGTTTTTTGCTTTTTATCTCGAACCAATGGGGAAAAAGACGCATGTCCACAAGCATAATGCTTATCATTTCAGAGCACGTTGTAATTTTGGAGTAGCGTGGAAATATTTGAACTTGTTTGTTTTTGAATGAAATAATTTCCTTGACATCACACAGCTCTTTCAAAGTCTTTTCAACAAACGTTTCACACACACACACACACACGCACACACACACACACACACACACACACACACACACACACACACACACACATAATAAAATTAGTCTCTTAACAGCCTAGGAAGGGAACTGGTTTTATGGTTGAAATGTACAATTGTTTTTTAAGACCACAGGGGCGAAGAAAAGAGCGTCACATGTAAAACTTCTGCACAACATTGCATCTTGGTACGATTCCTTAATATGGACCAGAGGTGTGGAGGTTAAAAGCTCAGGCGTGGCGATTTTACGTGGCCTCTGTGTCAAAGGGAAATCTTCACATTCTGCGAAGATGGATGAAGTGTTTCCTCTGCATTCGTCTCCGCATCCAGGCTACCCCCATTTGCACACGTCGCTTCTCCCTCGGAGGCGATGGCATCCCGAAGGGAGCCCGCAGCAGCCCCGATTGGCTCCCGGTCCGAGCAGGCGGCCAATCGGATTCCTCCTCGGGCTGCGTGTGTTTCTCTCCACTCCCTGCCTTGCACATCACTTTCACGCTTGTGCAGTGCTGCATGGATGTGCGGGTGTTTGACGGCGGGTTTTTCAGGGCCGTGATGATGGAGGAGGGGGAGGGGCGGGATGCACATGATGCACAGATTCTGAGGAAATAAACGAGGAGAACGCCGTGGAATTGTGACGAGACATCAGAAGCGAGGAGGAGGAGGAGGAGGAGGAGGAGAAGAGCAGTCGTTGTTCATCTGCACAGGAGCCCGGCATCTTCCGCCATGGGCTGCTGGCTCTCGGGACCGTGGGTGGGCGACGCAGCAGTGAGTAACACCAAACCACAGTGTGGCTAAAGATGCTGGGCATGAATGTGTGTGTGTGTGTGAAATCTATCCATCCCGTGGTCCTCCAGATTGGCTCAGTATTTACATAGCTGCAAACTTTTTGTTTCAGGGACCTCTAAAATATGAGCGTGAATGTGAGAGCGCTGCATCCTCGAGATATAACCTCATATTTCACATCATTATGTCTGTTCGTGGCAAAGAAACGCGCACTCTGTCAGCCATTTTGTGCTTCTCAGTCCAGTTCTGCGTATGTCTGCGTGCTTGTGCTTGTGTGCGTGCGCATGCATGCGTGCGTGCCTGCGCGTGAGTGTGTGCGTCTACACTGCCCCGCCATAATATTCGGCACGTGTCTCTCGATGTTCAGTGCCAGAATTCCGCCTTTAAAATGACAATTTGAAATGACAAGAAATATTTAGTCGTTACTGTTTGTCAAAGGGGATGGACATAACAATCGAGGAAAGTCTTTTTGGCAGACACTACGTGAGGAAATATAATGATTGCTGTGGCCAAGTGGCACCACCTGTTATTTTCTTTCCAAATGGAAGGCGTTTATTTGTTGAAGTGGAGGGCACATCATTGGCGCTTAACAGCACAAAATAACCTCACAAATATTTATCGTAGTTGCTTGTTATCGCAATACTAGTGTGGCCTATACAGGGTGGCATCGATTTGTGTGGAGGTGTTGAAGTGGACAATGCCCCTGAACTCTGGTGAAAACCTGACCATAATACATTCTGCTGCTCTGGTTGGATTTGAGGGGAGGTATTTATTCCATGAAGTGGACCACGCTACCTGGGGAGTTATTTTACTAGCCTTTGCTGAAGCATCGATTTGAGGGGAGGCATTTATTTGATTATTTCAGTGGATAACACTTCAGATCTCTAACCTGACCATGATTCCATTTGCTGGCCTTTGCGGGAGGCGTCTATTTGATGGGAGGCATTTACATGTTGAAATCGAAAATGCACCTCAACTTTGCAGATCTTTGTCCTGTCCAGTATTTATTGCACAAGAATTTTTTTGGTGGATGACACCTGAATTCCGGAGATCTATCATTCAATTCGCATTCAGTGACTATTTGAGGGCAGGTGTTTATTTGCTGAAATGGACAATGCACTTGACCTCCGCAGAGATAGAACCTGGTCAGTTTTCATTCTACTGGCCTTTGCGGAGCCATTCATTTGGGGGGGGAGACGTTCATTTTTATTAGGCGGACACTGTCAGGTAGCTGAACAATGTTCACAAACTATTTTGGAACTGCTTTGAATTAATGCGAGTAAGTTCAATAATAAACATGCGGATAAATGCATTGACCTGAATAGTTGGTCAGTGTGTGTGCGTGCGTGCGTGTGTGTGTGTGTGTGTGTGTGTGTGTGTGTGTGTGTGTGTGTGTGTGTGTGTGTGTGTGTTTGCCTAGATGTGTATTTGAAAGTAGAGGAGGGTGACTCATGAATGTGATGTGATGCAGCTCATGCGTATCATTTGATGTGTGCTGAGCCATGTGTGTGTGTATGTGTGTGTGCGTGCGTGCGCGTGTCACCACGTCCATCTTACTCCCGTCACAAGGCTGCAGCAAACCCAGAAAGAAGGCTGCGTGAACGTCTACGGCCAGAACGCCGCGTTCTGACCCAGTTGCATAATGACGACTGCGCCGCCGTTGAAATGGAAGCTGCGACGTGATCATTTGCGTGACTGCGTGTGTGTGCGGCGCAACTGAATAGGTGACACTGGCACATTTGCAAGAAAACCTTCAGTGAGGTTCTTGGATCCCGCTTCACAATGTGCAAAGGCAGCCAATTACATCACGGTGACATCAGCGGGGTTCTTTTGTCAGCTCTGACTTGAGAACATGGCGAGCTTGTTTTCATGTGTGAAAATAAGAAGATGAGGAAGAGGCGGAGGAGGAAGAGTAGGGAACACCTGCTGTTTGCCTCCAGACAGGATAAAGCTCACAAACTATAATTGGACCATGTGAGGCGAATCATCCGAGAATCCGCAATGGCGTGGAGGCTGCTTAGGTTACAGTGAAGAACTCCAAAGTGACTTAGCAGGTCTGTTGTCCAATGCAAAAAATAAATGCCCGCCCCCTCAAACTGATCCCTCCCATATAGGCCAGTAGAAGCGATTCTGGTTAGGCTGTAGATTTGAGGAGTTCTCACCTCCCCTCAAACCTGAAAAAACTGACGACTGGTGAGATTCTACTGCGGATCTCTGCAGTCCTAAGTATGTTGTCCACTGTAGCAAATTAAGGCCTCACCTCAAATAGATGCCTTCTGCCCAGGCCAATAGCATGTATACTGGTCAAGTGGCTCCTGGAGTATCATCCAGCTAAATCAAAGCCTTCCCACAAGTAGACGCCTTCCACCTATGACAGGAACGGTGAGGTTATAAATCGACGGAGTTCGGTGTGTTGCCCATTGCAGCAAATAAATGCCTGCCAAAAGAATGGATACTAATCAAGATATAGAACTCCTGAGTTCTTTTTATCTGTTAACTGTCACATTCATCTTCCCGTTATACAAATAAAGGCCTCCCCTCAAATAGACGGCGCTCCTGAAAATAACGGGGTGTACCACTAAATGTACGTCATTACGCTAAACACTGTCCGTCCCTTTAACTGACACCACACCCCCATGAGTACGTAATCGACTGAAGACAAATTAAGCACCTCCCTCACATCCACACCTTTGTGGGTTTTTTTTTTTTTTCATTCCTTGCTTTCAGCAAAGTAGCGGGCGCAGCCTGGCACACCTGAGCCAACGCGACGCGCTGCGCATCCTCGCAGCCAGTCAGCTCCCCGTCACCATGCAGGTCAAAAGTCAGAGGGGCCGCGGCGGTGTGGAGGCGGACCCCCGGGGCACCTGGGAGCCCCTGCCGCTCAACCTGCAGCACCTCAACCTGCCCCTGCCCAGGATGCCGGCGGGGCTCAACGCTCCCAGCCCCACCTATCAAGACAGGTGAGCAACAGCTTCATCATCAGCACGCATCAGATGATATTAGTGCCCAAAAAAAAAAAAAAAAAAAACGTCAACTGTACCACTCTAAAAGTTGTTCTCCTCCCTCCCAGACATTATTTTGGCCACCTGTCTCTGCCGCAAGATCACTACGACGGAGGACACTACGGCTACCTGTCCAGCTCTCCAATTGACACTGTGGACATGAGCCACCAGGTAACGGCGTACAGCCAGACGTGGATTGATCCGGGCGCTTTGTGCCCGTTCCCGCCTTCACGTTTCTTGTTCATTCAGGACCCGGAAGCGAGTGGCCGGCGAGCCAAGGGGCAGAACTGCCTGTTAGGATGTTGCAACATCAACCTCGATGAGCCCAAAGGATACCACAGCCAGGTAACAAGGCCACGGTGCTGTCATAGCTCAGGGAGAACTTCTTTGTGGAATGTGGGGACCGCCGTCAGTGGATCGCATTGTTTGAGTCTTTTTGGCAGGGCTCATTCACTTTCCTCTTTTTGTGACATTTTCATTTGGTGGTGTGCTGTGAGATGTTTTTTCCAATATGAAGTATGCGCCATGGCTCGATAACAGCGCGAAACACCACCGCAGGCGCAGAAAGGCCAGATCGTCAGGTCCGACTTGCGCCAACAAAGCGGACCTCACCCTAACCCGTCTTCTTGCAGACGGACGATGACGACTACATGCTGGACAAGCCCATGGGCTTCCTGCCCCTCCACCACGAGCTGGATAGCGGCCTTGGCTGGACCGACGGCTCCCTCCACCAAGGCGACCTCTCCGGGCTGGAGACGGAGGAGGCCGGCTTGGAGGATTGCCACTCCCACGGAGCCTTGGGCCCCGGCGGCTGCGGGGCCTTTGGACCCGGCGGTGGGGGCTCGCCTTCCTCAGAGTCCTTCATCTCGTCGGAGCTCAGCGACTCGGGCTTCTACAGCACCGGCGAGTTCCGCCACTTCCAGAGGATGCTGGAGAAGCGCATGCGGCTGTACAACGCCAGGCTGCAGCACCAGGGAGAGACGTGCGAGAGGCGGGAGCGTCGTGACAGCTGCCCCATGAGCCACCGCGAGCTGCTGGAGGCCATCCCCGAGACGCTCACCATGCAGCCTCCGTGTCAGCACATGCAGATGGAGATGGAGGAGGCCGCTGGGTCCGTCTTGGATGTGCCGAACCGGGGACTTTTCAGGTATGGTTGGAGGTGGGAAAAGCACATTCACATTCATGCCTGTGGACGATTGAGAGGCTTCACTGAAGCTTCCATGCATGTTTTTGTGGGAGGAGGCCGGAGGGGAAAAAAAAACAATGCAGTCACGCATAGACGCTAAGAATTGAACTCTGAACCGCAGAACAAATCTGCTAACCACTTCCGCTGCCCATGCAACAGAAAATCAGTTGTATCCAAAACCACATTCATTCAAAGCCGAGAGGGGCTGCCTCAGACTGGGCTTGTCTCCATGGTAACAGCCAAGAACCTCTCGTGCGCAAACGCTAAAAATTGACGGAAATGTCTGAGTGGCTGCAAAATGAGAATCACGTTCAAACGATGGAGTAGTTTGATTTCTGCTTCAAACAACAACATTGTAAAATTTGCAGTACAAAGTCTTCTTCGGGGAGTCCTCGGTTCACAAATTCACCCTTTCTTTGTCTTTCTGGCGGCCTCGTTTTTCTTTAAAATTATTTAGTCATCAGCTCTTATTCTGATTTTTACACAACAGAAAGTTGTAGTTTCCGTTTATGAACGTGATTACAGTATTCACACTGTGTGTAGTGTGCGTGGATATTTGGAAAAAACAGAATTTGTTTACTGTGAACACATTAAGGGATGGGTATACTGTGACATTGTAAAATAATTGCGGGTTATCCGTTGCTTTTGTTCTCTGAATATGGTGAACACTCCCGTAACTCGTTTTGACATGAGTTTTGTTTCCAGGGTGTCATCAGTCCAGTTCCACAAAGCCGACCGGCCCTGCCTGAACCGCCACAGCTCCAGCAGCGGGGCTCTCTTCAACCCCTCCCACGGCCACACGGCCACGCCCCGACTGAGCGGCCCGGTCCTCTCCACCTGCAGTACGCCCTCCAGCCACCGGAGGCCGCTGGCTCCCGTGCAGCCGCCGCACCACCAGGGTTCCAGCTCGCTGGGGATGCTGAGGAGAAGCCGTACCCTGCACCATCGCCCCCCGCAGCAAGAGTACCGACGTCGGGCCAGCCACCCGGCCTCGCCCTCCTATTGCGCCGCCACCCTGCACCACTGCGGAGGGGTCCCGCCTCATGGCGTCCTGCAGCCGGGCCTACCGGAGGAAACCGAGATGGGGGCGGACGTGATGGCTTCCCCTCTCTCTGCACAGCAGCACCCAGGTACCGCGGGGCACACAAAAATATTCTCTGAACTATTACGATGGCCGGTTAATTTAAAAGCTATAAAATGAGTTCAAAAAAGAACTTATTTCGTAACCCCTTTATGTTTGTTATAACCAACAAAAATAAATTTTGGGTGGTACATTGCCCTTTGTATTTAACATTGTAACAGCGGAACTTCTTGTTTTTGAAAAACTGCATGGTCAAAAGCTATTTGGAGTTTATGCCTAGACCCAGTCTACATGGACGATGAGCCACAGAATGCCCGCAAGGTGTAGTTTGAACAACCCCGTGATAAACTCAGGTAAAAATGCACTTTTGACGATATGACACATCTTTTGTCTTTCATGCAGTGCACATCCGGGTGCCCAGCACCCACGAGTTGCATTACAACGCCAGCCCCAACGCCCACCACGACTGGTGGCAGCAAATGAGCTTGATGCCCGACCCGCTGGTGGCGGAGCGAGACGAGCAGTTGGAAAGGCAACAAATGGAGAAAAATCTGGAGAGGGAGGCGCAGATTCAAGAGGAGGCGGAGCGAGAGATGCAAAGGAGTCGAGCAGCCAGGGAGCAGCAGCACCTCCAGGGGGCGCTCCACCACGCCCAGCCGGGGGACATCAACGACACGTGGCCCAAGCCGGCAAGTCGCCAGTCCCAGGGTGGCGGAGGAGGAGCCCGAGGCCTTTACAGCACCCTCGAGGGCCACACAGGAGCAAACCCGACCTCTGCTTTGGATGCAAACAACGACCAACCGGATGCACAGCTGCCGACTTCCGGTCCGCAAACCAAACCCAGCACAACCTCCCGGGTGTCCAGGAACCAGCTGTTGAGGGATCGGGCGTCGCAGCTGGCCGATGAGCGCAGTGGGATGAGCACGGACGAAGAGACCAGTGCCGACATGCTGCTGGGTCGCTACTGGAGCCGGACGGAGAGAAGAGAACACTTCCTGCTGGCCCGCGAACAGAAGCAGCAGCAGGCCAGGGGAGGGGGGGCGTCCGGCTTGGGGTCCGGGCCACCCCGCTCCCCCGTGCCGGAGGCCCGGGCGGGCGGCGCGATGACGGACGCGCGCTGCAACACGGTGCTGGAGATGAGCCAGAGGAAGCTGAGTCGTCTGAGGAACCGCAAGATGTTGGATGACTGGACCACGGTGGAGGAGCTGCTGACCCACGGGACCAGACTGGACAGCCACGACCAGCCCATGCTGTGCGCCAGCCCCCTGCTCACCGTTACCACCGTCTAGAAGCGGGCTTCTCAAACCTTTGGGGCCCAGGGACCCCCACACGGGGAAAACTTTTCCAAGGAAGTCTATTGTAAGCCACCGAAACATAACCATGCCACAGGAATGAAAAATTGACATAGTTCCCCAGAAAAAAATGCTGGAATTTTCATCCTGACCATCCTGACAAAATATGATAAGGTATCATATTTTGTCAGGATGAAGTCCTAATCTTACGAGAATACATTTTTCAAGATGAAATATTTTTTGGTGAAGACAAAGTTTTAACGAGTGCATTTCAGCAGTGCAATTCCTTCTCACAATTTGACATGATTAATTCCAGAAAAGATGCCGTTTTAGTCTACTAAAATGGGAATACGTCCCCGCAAAAAAATCGCCGACAAAAACGACACGACTGCGTACCCCCACATCGTTTTATTTCTTAACTCTTTGTTATTTACTGCACTTTGACTCAGGCCTTGTCTCATATTAAAGTGTTGCTTTGGCACCGTCCGATGTCATTTTGGTGCAGAGGAACTATGTTGAAGTGAGGGGAGGATCGTCATTGACACAGGCCAGCTCCCTGTCAAAAAGAGAAATAGTGCTTTGCTGCCATCTTGTGGCATCTGTTGGCAAATATTCATCTGTTTGGGGTAGGCATCAATCAGATTTTGATTATTTGAAACAGGTTGCATCTTCTCGAAAAAAGATTTTCTTGACTGAGTTTTTAATTGGCCCAAAACTTACCTAGGGCGGAATATTTGGTTTTGATGTTTGTTTTTTTTGGCCGCCCGTGCCCATTTGAAGGCGGACACTTTTTTTCCAAGTGACTTTTTTTGCAAATTATTTTGCGGACCCCAATCTACAGCTCGCTGACCCTGGAGGGGTCCCCGGGTCCCAGTTTGAGAACCCCTGCCCACATCGATGAACTCCGCCGTCCTTTGCAGTGAGTGCACCGCTGCGCATGCGGGCGTCCTATCACGGCGCACGGGTGTTCCCGGAACTACAACAGCACTGTTGTTGACCGAATTCACAGAAGCACGCAGCGCAAATCCCCCCGAGGGTACAAAACCTTTGGTCACCTTTTTCACCTTTGCGCTTATTCCATTCCTGATCCCTAATTGGCAACATGGCGTCCACACAATTGTGACTTCCAACTTCCGATGTGACTTTGTATGGGGAAAACACAATAACACAAAACCGCTGCCCTTTTTCCACCCTCCCTACTGGCAGTCAGGCTGTTCCAAACCTTACCAGCACACAAGCGGACTGAAGCTTCTTCTACACTGCCTGTGACAGCTGTGATTTGTCCGGCTTTTTTCCCGCGTGTCCTGTTCCGTATAAACCGCACGATGCAACCAAACGAGATGGCAAAGTCGAGCCGGGCAATATTTGCACCCAGTAACGGAGGCAAGGTGACGCCTTTCAGTCCGTTTCCGACACTTATTGTATTGCAAGCAATTCTTCTTCCGAAGACTGTGATGCTTACCAACCTAAAGTGGGTGAAATTTCGTCGTCTCGCGGCACAATAGTGTTTTGAAATCACTGACGGAGGCAAATGTCATTCAACCCCCCGAGTGGGGCACAATCGGAGAGTTTATTCTCCAGAAGGTTGCCCAAGTCGGACGTGGCTTGATATTCACACAGAGCGTCAGCAGCAGGACATTGCTGCGTCCAAGGTGTGCATTAACACAGCATCACACTGCTTTCCTGCGTCGCGAGCCTCGGTTGTGAAACTTCACGCATACACCCCGCTAGTTTCCCAACTTGTATGGAATCGAGGCAAATATGTATGCAGCACATCTGGCTCTACGCAGCTGCTCCGTCACACATTATAGCCGCCCACACGTTTACTGACGATGCACAGACGGAAAGGATTTGCGTCCTACTCTCTGGAAATATGCCCAGTCAGCAGGTCAAGCGTGCGGGCTCAAAGTGCAATAATACCTCAGTCGCAGTGCTGTAATTTTTAAGGCAGACAGGAACAAAAAAGATGCACAAAGACCCTTGTAGATGTTTACATATCGAGGGGGGGACCTAAGAAAACAGCCCGTTTTTGCACATTTTCTAAAAAAAAAAAAATATACGGACTCAAAAGAGGTTTTCCCTACCTATCGCTCTCTCACAGGGACCGAGGCCAGTGGATGACTGTGGATCACAGGTCTCAAACTCCAGTCCTCGCGGGCCACGAGTCGGCATGTTTTCGACATTCGCCTCTTCTAGCGCGGCGCATTCAAATGGTCAGGATCGTGATCAGGCTGCCGCAAAGCTTGCTGATGAGCTGATCATTTGAATCAGGTGTTTTGGAAGAGGGAGACATCGAAAACATGTTTATGACCGAAGCTGTAGATAGAACACAGACTGTGTGTGCGCGTGTGTGTTGATGTTTTATTGATCAACTCTCATTCAAAAAAAAACAAAATCTTGACGTGTTTGAACATATTTCAATATTTTTCTTACGGTACTGCATTTGTTTTGGTAATCTTGAAGAGTTTTATTGCACATTGTATGGTATCCAGAAAGCCTCTGATTTTTTTTTCTTTTAAGTGAACACAATTTGTGTGATTATCCATGTCCCCTAATTAAAGCTGACTGTTGTTTTGTGGTCACACGGATGTGCGTATGTGTGTACGTGTTGATTTCGTTACACGCAGCCATCAGGTCACGTCGTGAAGGCGTTACAAGTGGAAACCGGATGTGAAGCTTTTTCTTGTGTGGGTCGACAGAAGTGCAGCTGCTGTTTTGGAGGCTGTACAAAGATAGCGTTGACGTATTATAGTTCTAGGACCAGTTGAGTTTGCCGTTTCTTTTGAGCAAGACTGGGACGAATGACGTCGTCTCGCAAGGCCGTTGCTGTGGATGTCCCCTTTCAGATTCCTCCCCCTTTGGACTCCACAACCTATTGCTCATTTGAATGAAAAAAAAAACTGCCCGCTCGTACCCATCCAATAGTCATCAGAAGCCCAAGAGATATGAGTGACCCAACTTACTCACAACAAGCAGCAGTTTCGCAAGTAGACTCAACAATCTTCCCCCCAAAAAAAAAAAAAAAAACGTTTAGCGTCAAAATAATCAGTAAATAGACAATTACAATTAAAGCAACCACATCCGGGCCGACAGGATCTGTACGGCAAACCTTTTGCAATACGATGTACTAGTGTGCCGTACTAAGAATTAAAAAAATAAATTAAAAAAAAAGAAGAGAGAGAGAGATTTTAATTATCTGTTAGCCTCTGGTTCTGTTCTGTGTTCACTCATGCGGCAACAACCCCACATGGCTGGAGTCACTCGGACCTCAAGGCAGATTCAGAAAGAGGCCTTTGCCAGAATTTGTCAGACCAGTGACTCCAGATGGCTTTTGTATGTGTAAATGTCAATCATTCATTATTATTATTATTATTATTATTATTATTATATTTGTTTACCATTGATGAGTTGAAAAGGCGGCGAAATGAACATATGGTAAAGCGATGATGAAAAACGTCCACACATTTCAGCATCTATACGTTTATCAGTTTGGCTTGCAGAACAAAAATGTACAATATATAACAGAAATTCTGTTTGATTTTTTTAATTTACCCGACAATAAAAACAAAACAAAACTAACTATATATATATATATATATATATATATATATATATATATATATATATATACACAGTATATATATATTATACGAGACTTCTGCGTTGCTGAAACCATCAATTTCGATTTTTATCTGTTTATATATTACTTGTATGAAATAGGACATTAATGACACAATGTTTACACATTCAAATGCTTTTTTAAAATTTATTATTGCTGAATAAGCCATATTGAGTTTGGCAACAAGTGATGATGCATCACAACGAGAATAACAAGACACATTGCACTCACAGCGAATATAAGAAAAGGAGTCTTCAAAAAAAAAAAAAAAAAAAGAAGAGAAAAAGACCCCAAAACTCAAATTTGTTCCAATGCAATCAAGACATTGCAACAGATTTTTCAACTTAAAGCTTTGATCGTGAAAATACCAGGCGACTTGTTGACCTTAAAACAGATCAGAACTTCATGTCCACACAAAGGACACAATCATCATAGCATGACAAATGACAAGTATGCCATCTCTAAACAACAGTGATAGCGTGTATCAATGGAGTCCTTGACAAAAGAAAATAAATCTTCTGTACTTTTGTGTGGCAATTCAAATGTGATCCATTTTGGTGAGTTCCTTGGGAATCGAACTTCTGCACAAACAGAAACCAACGCTGCCCTCTATCAATAACTTGATGATCACTTCCATGAAAATGAATCAGGTTGGTGCATCATGCACGACAACATATCATTTTGCAAATGATATGTTGCAAATAAGTAGCCTGAGTTATTCTCACTTTCCATAAAAAAAGAAATGAAAAGCAATCATACAGTTCATACAACATGCGTGAAAATAGCAGTATTGCCATTGTTCCCATAGGACATTAATTAGAAGTGGGGTAATCATTATGATCAATAACTTCTTGAATTAGAGACAAATTTCCATTCCAAAAAAATGAAAAAAATACCCCCCGAAAGAATGCAATCGTATTCATGCAACATGCATGACAAAACAATGACACCGATTGTTTTGCTATTTTTTTTTCTCTGGAGGAAAAGTCCTCCGGCAAAATCTTCAGATCAAAATGATCAGAAATAACATCAGCATCATCTAAAAATATTTGACATTTCTGTTTTAGAAATGAATAAAGATGATTGCAAAAACAATCAGACCCTTCATGCAACATACATGACAAGATGAAACTATCCCAAAAGATATCACCCAGAAAGAAAAATGATCAGTACGATCAGCGAAACGGAATGATCAATAACATCACAAATTAACATAATCTGTCACCATTTCCATGAATGAAAAGGAGCCAATTGCAAATGCAACCAGATGTGATTCATGCACCGTGCATGACAAAAGTTATTCTGCCGATATTTCCCATAGGAAATAAAACAAGTTGAAGTCGTGACTTGAGAGCAGCTGACGTCAGTCAGTCTGTGTCTACCAGGGCCTCCAGGGGGCGCTGTTGGCCGAGCGCTCCTCCTCGCTGACGGTGCTGTGACCCGGAGAGCTGAGAGGAGACAGGTCCTCTTCTCTGCTCATCTCCTCACAGAAAGACCCGAGCTGCCTGAAGCGCGTCCCGGCTGGGGGCACGGACCGGAGTCTCCTGAGGACGCAAACGGTCATCTCCAGGACGTCCGCCTTGTCCATCTTGGAGTCGTTGTGCTGCCGGAGGAACTCGGCGGCCAGGAGAGACTTGAGCTGCTCAATGCTGCTGTTGATTCGTTCTCGCCGGAACTTCTCCACCAGAGGCTTTCGGACCTGCGCCGGGTACAAACGTGGGATGAGGACGCTTGTCGAAGACGACGACCGTGACGATGATGGGACGATGAAGATCAACGTACCTTGTGTGTGAGAGTCAGGTGAGCTTCTTGCAGAGAGATCGCAGGTGCCATGGCTGGATGTGTGTGCTGGCTGCGCTCGAGGTGCTCTCTGCTGGCTTCATGGGGGGGACAATAGTTACATCTCAGGGGAGCAGCTGGACCACTGCGCGACGCAAGGGAGGCTTTGTGAGGGTCTACGAAGGGTCCGGTGGGAAAGTGCTGACCCTGGAGAGAGCACATCTGCTTGGGGCAGGCACACGCCATTCGTATTCTTTTCGGGGGGGGCGTAAGTGCGCCATGACCAAAATCCTTTCGGAAATGTAACCAGTGTGATGTTTTAGTGCTCATGCTGGTCGCGTTACATGTCCCACTGTTTTGACTTTTTCTCAAAATGACGGTGAAAGTGTCAAGTTGAAATGTCCGTTGAGCTAATCGGTCATCCAAGCGCTGCATTCAAATGTCATTTTGGCCTCAGTGGTCAACGTGATGTCTTCACGTGTCTATTGCGAGTCAGCGTTGCATTCAAATGTCATCTAACATCAAGGTGAGAAGATCACCTCCAATTTGCTTTGCGTGATGTGTTCACGTGTCTATTGCGAGTCAGCATTGCATTCAAATGTCATCCAACAGCAAGGTGAGAAGATCACCTCCAATTTGCTTTTCAAGAAGGACACAAAAGAGTTTTTTGGAAAACTAAAGTATGGGAAAGCATCATATGCTTCAATGTGAAGCATATCCCGACTGTTGATGCGTTTTGATGAATGACGTCCAACATTCCAGCGTCCTGGACTGAATCAAAGGTGCAAACCATCAGCTCGGCGTCTCCTTCACTTGTTGGCCATGAAACAGGGTGGTGGGAACCGCTTGCAAAGGTCGAAGGTCAAAGTTGACTCCACGCGCCAAACGCTCCCGCTGAAGTGACGGCGTGAAAGGGGCTCTCTGATGCGCTGCATAATGGCACACGCTTGCATTGTTGCCGGTGTGGGAAAGCGGAGCGGAGTCTCTCTCAGAGCCGATGCGGGACAATTGAAGCTGACCTTTGACCTGCCGCGATGTGATCGCGCCTTCATGAGCAAAAGTTACAACTGTGTGATGCATAAACTTCAATGTTGAGCTACTGTTCCAGTATTTCAGTATTTAGTTCTGTTTTTAAAAAATGACTGTGTTCGCAAGTTCGCATTTAATGTGACACAGTGTTGTTATTGGGGGGGAAAAAATTCATAAATGGATCTTTTGAAGCTGTAGTATTGGAAATTATAATTCCATTTTATATTAATTGTTTATTTCTTTTTTTTGTTGAGCATGCGCTTTAGTGTTTATTGGCGTTGAAGATGATGTCCAACATTCCGGCGTCATGTGTCGAATCAAAATTGCAAACTCCTCCTCACTTGTTGCCGGTGAAGCGCGTCGGTGGGAAGAGATCGTGTGCCCGCAGGTCACAGTTCACTCCACACACTTGTATTGTTCCGGTGTGGGAAAGCGCAGCAGAGCTTCTCTCTGAGCGGCTGTGGGACAATTGAAGCTGACCTTTGACCCGTGGCTATGTGATCACACAATCATGATCCAACGGGAACACTTTTTAACGAACCGAAAAACTAGAATGTCAAATCTTAGCTTCAAAAATGCATCTATTTTATATTCATTGTTTAGTTTTTTTTTTGTTGAGCATGCGCTATAGTGTTTATTGGCGTTGAAGATGATGTCCAACATTCCGGCGTCATGTGTCGAATCAAAATTGCAAACTCCTCCTCACTTGTTGCCGGTGAAGCGCGTCGGTGGGAAGAGATCGTGTGCCCGCAGGTCACAGTTCACTCCACACACTTGTATTGTTCCGGTGTGGGAAAGCGCAGCAGAGCTTCTCTCTGAGCGGCTGTGGGACAATTGAAGCTGACCTTTGACCCGTGGCTATGTGATCACACAATCATGATCCAACGGGAACACTTTTTAACGAACCGAAAAACTAGAATGTCAAATCTTAGCTTCAAAAATGCATCTTATACATCAATTGTAAACACGGACATGTCAAAGTATTTGACACGAAGGCTGCAATTCGTGATTATTTTATTATTCAATCAATTGTTTGATTCTTTTCTCACTTTTGATCTTCCATCCCTTTACTCTAACTCATTATTTTTAATTGACGGTGCAGATTTTCATTCAGTGCCCGGTTTGCTCCGGAACATGTTTGAAAAACAACAACGATGTTGATCGCCGCCTTCCAAATTAAAAGCAGAATTTTGCAAATGTTCTATTTTATCTTCAGGTATGACATGACGAGTGTGTGAAAGTGCAGCGCGAGGGCGAGGAGGGCGCCACCAGCAGGCCGTTATACTCCAAACTCCA